GGTGGTGGCTCGATGGAGGTGCACGTCGGTGACCTCGAGGCGCTGGTGATGCGCCTGGGCAGCGCGGGGTGCGCTGTCACCCGAGAAAATTTATGTGCAATATTGCTGCGCAGCCTGCCAAGTTCGTACGACGGTCTTGTGCAGGCGTACCGTATGGCGGCGGACAAGTTCCTTTTTCTGACATCGTTAATCGAGTGTTCGCGGAGGAAGCGCGTCAACAGGAGCTGGGCATCAAGGAGAAGCGCACCCCGATGCGACGCCGGCCGGCCTCGCAAAAATAAAAACAAAGTAAAGAATAAAGATGCGTGCTGGAAATGCGGTAGTGTTGGCACTACCAGCGCGGGACGAGTCTTACATACTCGATCCCAAAAAACTCGCGTCGACACAGACCATAAAAGACTGCGCTAGCATGGCAGTAAACTATTCTGGTACATGTTCAAGTCTAATCTGGGTTTGGGATAGCGGAGCATCCATCATATGTGTGGCGCACACGATATGTTTGTCGACTATGAACATCTTAGTGCGCCAATGTACATGACGGTCGCCAAAGCCGGGATCGAGATGGTCGTTGCCGGAAGAGGTATCGTTATGCGTGTGGGTAAGCGCGTGTTCGCCGCCCGACTTGAGAACGCATTTCATGTACCAAAGCTCACACGTGACTTGTTTTCGGTGTCACGATCGAAATGGCCGGTTCCGGCTGTACAATCAAGCAAAGCGGTACGGTAGTGGCTATGGGTACCAATCGTGGTAAGCTGATCACGCCTGATATTGAAGATGCACCAGAGTGCCATCTGGCCGTTAGCGGCGAGCTTTGGCATCGCCGGCTCGGTCACGCATCGCGCCACGCAGTCAACTTATTTGCCCCGGAGTACTATGATCCAAGACAAGAATGTGCGATACGACGGTTACAGCGCGTTAGCAAAGCAGACACGTGCCCGATTCCCGCAACTCGAGGGGGGAAAGGCATTTAAGGAGCAATACAAGCGGCGTGCTGAAGTCGTATGCTCGGACGTCGCCGGGCCGATCACCATATCGTCTGTGTGAGGCTCTCGCTACTTCGTCACGCTCACTGTGATGTCAGCGCGTTTCTCGATGGTTTATCCGATGCGTGCCAAGTCCGAAGTCCTACAGCACTTCATCAGCTTTCGGACCTACATCGAGGCATCATCAGACACATGCGATAAAATTTTACGAAGTGACAGCGGCGGCGAGTATACCAGCAAGGATTTGCTACCGTACTGTGAGAAAACTGGAGAAGCACATCAGCTCACGGTTTCGTACAAGACGGAGCAAAATGGAATGAGTGAACGCCTCAACCGCAGTTTGGTCGAGATGGCGCGCTGCATGCTATACGAAAGTAGACTTGAAAAACAATACTGAGCGGAAGCTGTGGTGACTGCTGCAGATGTTTGCAATACTATCCCACCAGCTGACCAGATCATGTCTTTTTATGAACACCTATACAAGCAACGGCCCCAGTACGAGCGGATGCAAATCCTTGGATGTGTAGCCTATGCGCACGTGCCCAAATCGAAGCGCAGCAAGCTTGAAGACACAGCAGTGATTTTTTTTGATATCCTCGCAAACAGAAGGGATGCCGGCTGCTTAATCCGGCAACAGGAAAGCTTATCATTTCTCGGTCGGTAACATTTGAGGAGACAGCCGGGATTACCAACTGCAAAAATATTGAAGACACGAAACCGTGTGTAACAACAGCTGTGTCGCATGTCATCGATGTGGTCCCAGATGCTAAATTATCATCGTGCGGGGCTCGAACCGACTACCATGATGACCATATTCAGCTGGTGTCTTATCTGGCTGAGCCACATGGCTAATTGGATGTTCTAATGAAAGTTTTACACAACAGTACAATTGTGCCATGGACACCACCATTGTCAGTCTTACCGGTCCCAACGCAGCTGTCGTCACTTGGTTGTGATGGGGAAGACGAATCCAACATTTGGTTAGTCTGTAAGTGTCTCGAGATGGTGCGCTACCAGGATAAATTCCAGCGACCGTTTCAACTGGACGACTACGAAGCTTCACACGCCGTGCTATTTTGTCTGAAACAGCCGACGAAAACGTCACAACTTATAAAGAGATTCTACGCTCGCCAAATTGCAGTCAGTGGCAGCAAGAGATGGAAGCAGGGATAAATTCTCTCGGCTAGTGCAGCTACCAGCTGGCAAGAAACCTATCGGATGTCGCTGGTTGTTCAAGGTAAAACATCACGCGGACGGGGCTATTAATCGCTACAAGGCCCGGTTGGCTGCACATGGTTTCACGCAACGGCTGGGTGTGGGCTATCACGAGACCTTTGCACCTGTCGCACACATGGACACGATCCAATGCATGCTTGCAGTGGCGGTGCAGCTAGATTACGAAATACAGCAGTTTGATGTGGACACTGCGTTTCTCTACGGCCGCATGAACGAAGAAGTACACATGCGTCAGCCAGATGGCTAGAAGACGTGTCTGAACCAGTATGTTTGTTGCAGCACGTGTTGTATGGGACCAAACAGGTCGAGGGGGCATGGTACGAGATATCATGCTGTCAATTTAACAGTTAACAAGCGAGGCTTCGAGTCCTTTAAGGCTGATTTATGTGTTTTCTTCAAGACTGCATCACGTGTTGGATTTTGCGCGGTGGTTGTTATGTAGACGATTTGATTGTTACTACCCCGGAACTGGACGACATTACATTGGTGCGCGACGGACTCAAGGAACGGTTTGACATCAAGGAGATTAGTGAGTTGCGCTATTGCTTGAGTATAGAAATGCGATGCGACCATGCCTCACGCACATTGGAGCTAAACCAACGCGGTTATATTCGTAAGATTGCCGCACGTTTCCAGTTGGCCAACTGTAATCCTACCACGATCCCAGCCGATTCAAATACACCTCTCACCGCAACGACCGGCGCCTCCTTGACCCAGCACCCATATCGAGAACTGGTGTTTTTTATGTACAGTGCAATACGTACGCGTCCAGACGTTGCGAACGCGGTGGGGAAGGTGACCAAGTTTTTCAAGACGCCGAACAAGTTACACTGGTTGGCCGCACGCCGCGTACTTAAGTACCTCGTCTCAACGCAAGACGCAGCGATTCGTTACGGCGGCGGAGAAAGTGTACTCATCGGTGATGCGGATGACAGCTGGGTATCGGACGTTGATACTCGCCGATCCGTAAGCGGATTTGTCATGTTGCTACACGGTGGCGCCGTAACGTGGATATCCAAGAGGCAAAAGACCGTCGCCACTCCTTTTACCGAGGCCGAGAATGTTGCGCTACATTCTGCATCTCAAGAAGTGGTGTGGTGCGTCGAATCCTGGGGGATAGGACAAGCGCCAAAAGATGCGACTGTGATTTTTAATGACAACCAAGGCGCCATCGCCCTCGCACGCAACCCGATTTTCCACGCACAAACCAAGCATCGAGATCAAGTATCATGCAATTTGTGAGCGTGTGATGGATGGGACCGTAGAGTTAAGTTACAAGCCGACCTCTGACATGCTTGCGGACGCTCTTACGAAAGCAGTGTCGCGAGCTAAACTCGACGCGTTCAAGATCGGCGTTGGTATGCGCAGCATGGGGGAGTGTTTGTTATGCTGCTACTTTCAATGCTAGCACAAATTCATACGTTATGGTGACTTGCTCACGGGGTTTGGTATCATAATGCTAGACGCAAAGTTGTGAGTTTAATTGTTTCTAGGGACGGTTAGTGCGTGCTCAGCCTTTATAGACTGCAA